GCTTCCTTTGATGTACAGAAGCTTTTTAGTTTAATGAGGTCCCATTTGTTAATTCTTGACTTAGTTTGCTGAGCAATTGATGTCCGGTTTAGAAAATCTTTTTCTACCCCTATATCTTGTAGGTTTTTGCCAATGTTTTCTCCTAACAGTTTCACAGTTTCAGGCTTTATATTGAGGTCTTTGATCCATTTGGAAGTAACTTTTGTTCAAGGTGAAAGATAGGGGTTTAGTTTCATTCTTCTACAAGTGGAGATCCAGTTTTGCCAGCACCATTTGCTGAACATGCTGTCTTTCCTCCAGGGACTGTTCTTGGCCCCTTGGTCAAATGTCAGGTGACTGAAATTGTATTTACACATATTTGGGTCTTTAATTTTGTTCCATTGATCTATGGGTCTATTTTTGTGCCAGTACCATGTTGTTTTTATGACTATAGCCCTGTAATACAGCTTAAAATCTGGTATAGTAATCCCCCAGGCATTGATTGCTCTTAGTGCTCAGGGTTGTTTTGGCTATCTGAGGTCTTTTGTGCTTCCATGTGAATCTTAGGATTTTTTTTGCAATTCTGAAAAAATGTCATGAGGATTTTTATTGGCATTGCATTGAAGCTATAAATGACTTTTGGTATGATGGTCATTTTCACAATATTAATTCTTCCAATGCATGAGCGTGGGAGGTCCTTCCATCTTCTGATGTCTTCCTCAATCTCTTTCTTTAAAGATTTAAAATTTTCCTTGTAGAGCTCTTTAATGTCTTTGGCCAGGTTTATTCTGAGATTTTTAATTTTTTTTGTAGCTCTTGTGAAGGGGAGTGTTTCCATGTGCTCTTTCTCTGATTGCTTGTTATTGGTATATAGAAAGGCTACAGACTTTTGTAGGTTAATTTTGTAACCTGCCACTCTACTGAACTTGTTAATAATTTATAGGAGTTTTCTGGTGGAATTTTTTCGCGTCTCTTACATATAATATCATATCATCTGCAAAAAGGGTTAATTTGATCTCTTCTTTTCCAATTATTACTCCTTTAATTTCCTGCTCTTGTCTTATTGCTCTTGCAAGAATTTCAAGCACTATGTTAAAGAGAAGTGGAGATAGTGGACAGCCTTATCTGGTTCCTGATTCAATGGGAATGCTTCCAGTTTTTCTCCATTCCCCTTGGCTCTGGGATTGTTATATATGGCTTTAATTATATTGAGGTATGTTCCCTCCAGTCCAATTCCCTATAGGACTTTGAACATAAATGCATGTTGAATTTTGTTAAAGGCCTTCTCTGCGTCTATTGAGATGACCATGTTGTTCTTGTCTTTGAGCCCATTTATATGATTTATGACGTTTATTGACTTATGTATATTGAACCATCCCTGCATCTCTGGGATAAAGCCAACTTGGTCGTAGTGGATGATCTTTTTGATGTGTGTCTGTATGTGGTTTGCAAGTATTTTGTTGAGAATTTTTGCATCTATGTTCATTAAAGATATGGGTCTATAGTTTTCTTTTTTGGTTGTATTTTTACCTGGCTTTGGTATTAGCGTGATGCTGCCTTCACAGAAGGAATTTGGAAATTCTCCCTCTATTTCTCTCTTTTTGAATAAATTAAGTAGTATTGGATGTAGATCTTCTTTAAATGTCTGATAGAATTCTGCTGTAAATCCATCTGGTCCTGGGCT